CTCTCTCCCCTCTCTCCTTCTCCCTCCTCTCTCTCCTTCTCCCCCTCCTTTGTCCCTCTCTTTCACACACATGCACACACATGTGCATATACACACACACACACATGCATATAGGTATGCCTCAAAGAATTAAATGAAACCACGTGGAAAAGTGAACTCCTTGTGATCTAAATTCCAAGGTTTAGAAGCATTATTTATGAAGGACTATTGAACTGATGTATAGACATTATTCCATCTCTGTGCAAATGGATCACAAAAACTTAGAACCTGTACCATCTGTCAAGAAACTCACACAGCTCAACTTGGACTCTATTCAGTCATTTTGACTTCCTAATTTCCAGTGTTCCATGAAATGAGAAGCAATAGGTTGATGATCCAAAAAGCCAGAATAATAGATTTTCCTTCAGCCAATATGATGACTCCTGTCCTCAATAAACTTTCTAACCATCCAACAACACCTGTACTTCCTAGACTTGAACAGTCAACAGCAAGTTTGAAACACATTCCAAAGAAGCTAACCATCTTTCAAGTGAATATGATCCTTTCCTTGGAAGATGGAATAAGTTTCCAGTGGGTGCCTAAATAAATACTTGTTCCCTCAGAATAATGTTATTGGAAGGTGACCCATATATATATCATGACAGTCTAGCTATGGATTATTTAAAGTCCTTCAAAAAGTCACCTGGGACTTAGTGGCCCTAGATCAAGAACATTAGTCACAATATAAGAATAATTTAAGTGTGAACCTCTGCCAGTAACCTTGCAGGAAAACTTGTGTGGATGCTGATGCTTCTTCCAATGCCTTGTTCCTTTGGGAGATAATAACCTTATACTTTATCACTGACTCAGCACCACCCCAAAGCCAGAATACCATCTTTGTAGTCACTGACATACTGATGGAATTTAGACAACTGCAGCCACTTAGATAAGTAGCTTGGTACAAGACAAAGAACTGAGTGGAGTCTGCAGATGTAAGGTCCAATCCTGCCTCTGATACATATGACCCATGTGACCTTGGGCAAATCACTTAACCTTCGTGGGCCTCCGTTTTCTCACCTGTACTGACTGGATGGCCTCTGACATTCTCTTCCAGCTCTAGATCTGTGATATGAACCTTCTCATTGGCCTGCTGCAGAAGATCACTCAGGCCATCTTTGACAGTGGTCTACAATTCATTTTACTTTCATGTTCATCTACGTTTAAGGTCCACCTGTCACCCAACTCTCACTTGTGGCTCCATGAAGCAACAGCATGCACAGTGGTCACACCATAGTAAACCATCTCTGCAGAAGGACTAAACCAGGGTGAGGATAACTGACAGGCCTCAAACTCATTGGTGAGTTAGGGGGATGTTTACCACAAACATGTGAAGACTTCTCCCAGTCCAAGGAGTGGATGAGAATAATTTGTTCTAATGACTGTGAAGCAGATGCTGTGGAGTGCTTAGATTTTGGTCAAACATCGACAGCACCAAGGTCATCTACTACATCCCAGGCCATTACCAGTCATTCTGACTTTTGTCTTGCATTGGACTTCGATGACTCTGAAACTAATGACTTTTTGCAACTCTGCCTCAGTTAAATCCAATTCACAGGCCAATCAAGACATCACTCATGTTGTCATTGGCCCTCTTCTAAAATGAAGGACAAACAGCAACTCCTGGATGCAGGGAAGTTCCCTCATAGTAGTGATGGAGCTCATAGCACAGCTGTGGCATGATAAACAAGAAGGGGGAAAGGATAGATGCATGACTATCCTTACCCTCAATACAAATTACCTGTATTGTGAGCATTCTATGCCTGATCTTTGTACCCAGTTTAGCTGACTTTTCAAAATATCTACATCTTATTTTTTGATAGGTTTGCCCCTGAGTGCTTTCCTATTGCTTCTGTTTGTTTTCTCAGAGCAGCCCAGCAGAGCTTATTTTAACCATCAGTCTCATCTCCTATCCCAACTACCTCCCACTAGGCACTTATACTTGCTTCTCAGCTCACAGCTAACTCTCTCATTGACCTTGGGCAGGACCTGTGCTCTTCCGACTACAGTGATATTGCCTTGGCTGGGGGTGAGTGTGTCTCTTGGTAGATCAGTTTTACCCAGCTTGCTTCAGGAAAGCAAGTCATCCCCTAGTATTTATGCTTCAGTAGACGGGCTCCCAGAGAATGCAGTTAGTCATATTTCATTAGGGGGCTGCATGACTTAGAATCAATAATCTTTCAGTTTCATGAAATCCTCTCTCTGTTTCTCCATCTTTTTGTATAGTATTATTATGGCAAATCAACTTGCTCTACATACTCTAAGGGCTACAATATGTTAGCATTAATCCATACTGAACATAGTAAACACTTCTGTGTCCTTCAGATTCAAATGTTTTCTCTTGCTTAAGTGTTGTACTTCCCTGATGAGACAATTGAATTCTATTCAATAAGCATTTAAGTACTTCGTTAGTGCAAGAAAAGAGGAAGCTTGGCATAGAGGTCAGAGCTGGTTTCCTGGTCAGGAAGATCTTCGTTCAGGTCCTACCTCTGACACACACTGCTTGTCTGACCTTGGGAACATGATTTTCCCTCTTAGTGCTTTAGACAACTTTAAGACTATAAGTGGGTATTGATTAGCAATGGAGAGAGAAAACCAGTCCTTTTTTTAAGTATAAAGTACAATGCTATGTATTATAATTGAAATTTTTTACTTTTTTCCCATAAAGTATATAAAAAGGTTTTGGTATCTCCATCCAGGATGGCTTCTGAAGAGAACTTAAGAAAAGGAGCTATGCATTTTAAAAAAAATAAAGCAAATTAATGGTATAGGATAAGTCTATACTTAGAATTATTTTTAATGTGGAGTGTTTGGTGAGCCCCCTTTAAGAGAAGTATCTTTTCTGCAATGTGGAACCATCTTTGAGTGGCTCAAGACCTTCTTCTCTAAAGGCAAGGTCCTGCTCCAATAACCGATTTTTCAGAAATGTTTATTCCCATTAACTCTGTGGCTTCTTGATAGCCTATGGAAATGCTACCAATGAGGATAGTTAAATGCTGGGCTATTACTGAGAAAAGTTGCAAAACTTTCTTGAAAAACTAAGTCAGGGCTCAGATCTTTTGGGAAAGAAAGTAAGTCTTCCATGACTTATTTCACCTAATTTCTTCTGATTAGTTTCCCTTTAGGACTTTTGTATTTAGTTTACACTATATAAATTATCCATGGTCATAATTTTATATCATTTTGAAGATAACTAAACCAACTGAGGTGCTGTTTATTTGAGTGAAGATATTCTTCATGGTCAAAGCATCTATCTTAACTAAATCATTCCATAGTCATACAATCACAGAATTTGAGAGTTGGAAGGGACTTCATCAACCATCTAACCCAATGCATTGCACCAGAAGCATCAATCATGAAGTCCATAACACTCCTCAGTGCAACTTGAACCAGATTAAAATGTAATTAGGACATGTCTAAAAATAAATAAAAACACAATAAAATATAGATAATGCTAACACATGGTTTTCTAAGTCAGTATGCAACCTACTGGCATCTTTAAGTATGGTTAGCGGCCCCCTTTCTATTTGAGCTTGACACTGCATTATACCACCTCTTACAATGGCTATGTGGTCATGGGAAATAATAGAACTCCTCTAAATTTCCTCATCTGTAAAATGAGAACAATGATAATATTTAGAATACTTACCTCACAGGGTTGTTATGATGATCAAATAGTGCATGGAAAGAGCTTTGCAAAGCTTAAAGGACTAGATAATTGTTGGTAATAATTATCAAAATTATTGTCATTAGCATCCTTTCCTGATAGGCAGCATGAAGTAGTGGACTCAACCACACAGTCAGAACTACCTGGGTCCAAGTCTATTCTCTGCCATATACTGGTTGTGTTACACTCAGAAAGTCACTACATTTCAATGCCCTAGGCAACTCTCAAATAGTACAGGTTGAGGATTTGCATTAGTAGAATGAGTTTCCTCCCTGGAATCTCTCTATACCATCGATATCATAGGTCCTCACAAATAAGCCATCTTGTACAGATGTAGGCTGGGTCGTAGATTAGGATCCTGAAGCCCTCCTTGGCAAGCATTATGAGTTTCCTGAGGGAAAAGCAGGAAAATATCTTTGTAGCTGGCCAACAGTACCATAATTTCCTCCAAAGCCACCAGAATCCCAGAATGTTTGGGAGGGTCTGTTGCTTGTCCCCAAAAGACATCCTATCATTGATTGTCTACCTACTTGCCCCAATCCTCTCAACCATTTTAACTCTCGGTCAATGTAATAGAATTAGAATTTGTTAATTTGTTTTTCTGTAGCTCTGAAAATGTGCTCTTCAGTTGCTTCATATGCACATTCCAGCTCTTCTGTCTCTAAGTGCTTGAGATATAGTAAAGTCCACTTAGTTCATGGGTTTTGAATCATCTGTATGGCAATTGTTGACCTGCTAACTGAATGATTGACAGAGTTAATGACTGAAAACGGTACTTGTTGAATGGCTTACATTTAGTCCTGCCTCAATGGCCTCTTGAGTTGCTTTCCTCCACCTCAAAGAAGCTATGGTTCTGTCATTTTTGTTACATTAAAAAAATAGGTAGAAAAGTTGATCTTCATTTGTGGCCAAAATGGAATAATAATAACTCACTTCACATAGCAGAGGGCTTTCCTCACAACAATCAGTAACTCTACTAGTTAGTGCAAGCATTATTTTATAGATGAGGAAACTGAAGCTCTGAAAGGTTAAATGATTTTTTTCAACTATCATACAGTTAGTCAAGGGTTTGAGAATAAATTTTAACATAGGAGTGTCTGGAAAATGGGGCTATTCATGCATATTTAGAAAGTGCTTTAGAAATTAAAAGACCTAGCATCTGTTTCATAAACTCTATAACCCTGGATGAAAGTTTCTAGAGAAAATGAAAAATTATATAGCATTAATGTAAAATTGATTGATTCTACTTCAACATTTCTATGATCTATTACTTTGTTTTGTTTTCACAAAAATGAAGAAAACCATTCCAAACTTGAAAGAATCAACACCATGGCATTTTATAAAGAAGGACTGTTTGTTTCTGGAAATGTAAGCTTTTTTGTCTCTATTATTTTCTACCTCTGTCATTTGTCTTTTAAGAGTGAATGTTAATTTTTTAAAAATCCAGTCTCTTGGGGACTAAGGTGAGAAAGAAGAAGAGAAATATGGAAAAGAAATCCCAGATGATCACATGTTAAATGCAGCCCTAGAGAAATTTTCTTATGGATTTCTGCCAAAGCAACCTAAATTGTTCTCAGAGTGTTAGACATGGAACTACCACCTTAGTCATTCTGACATAGATTTAGAGCTGGAAGGGAACCTTAGCAGTCACCTAGGTAGGTAGTAAGTGATAGAAACAGAAGTTAAACTCAGTCCTCTCTTGAGCTTGGTCTATTTCTGCATTTATTCCCAACTGATTTGATAATCCATTCCAATTCGCAGCTATAGAAGTTGCAGCAAAATTGAAAAAGAACCAGATGATTTAGTACCAGAGTTAGTGCCATAGTCTTAATCTATGACTGATCAGCTCCCTGGGTTAGAATAGAGTACTAAGGTCATGTATTTTGTCTCTACTTGGGCCAGAGTTTTTCTCCATTCATTAGCCACAGATTGTACCTATAATCCAGCAAGCGTTAAACTTTTGGCTCATGCGTGTGCGCACACACACACACACACACACACACACACACACACACACACACAATATGAAGGAATAAATCAAAAGAAAAGTAGGTATCTCCTCCATTTGGTGCTTTAAAAAACAAAAACAACTTTTTGAGACTTAGCCCATACATTCCCTAATAAAAAAAATTAATTGCAATTCTGTTTCTCCCTTTTTCAGGCTGTTTTAATAATATATTGCTTCCTTCAAAGCTTCCTTTAATACCATTTCAACTTCCTTATAAAATAAAGGGTGAGAGGGTGTGTGTGTGTGTGTGTGTGTGTGTGTGTGTGTGTGCACATGCATGCACGCATTTGGTCTATTTCTGCCATCCAGTGATTTGCTTTAGGCTCATGACTTCTGAGACAGCTCTAAACCCAAACACTTTAAATTATTAGTATAACATTAATCACAAGAGGGTCTGATTGAGGGAATGCAGTTTAGTTGTCCAACTCCAGTTTAACTACTGGGAAAACAACTTTAAAATCTTCTGTAGGTAAATCAGCAGTATTATCTTTATATACTAAAGGTCAATTAAGTTCACCTAAATCTGTTCATAGTATTTATTTATCACCTACTATATGCTTAGCTCTGTTATGGGGGATCCAAAAGAAATATTAGGCATAGTGTCTGCCCCCAAAGAACTTGGGGAGACAAGACTAGAATTTATTAAATATTAGCATAAGACAACAGAGGTAATGTGAGTATGAACAAGATTGATCTCTGTAAGACAGGGAAGAAAATAAAGTTCAATTGTTTTAAAGCAAATAGCATTATATACAATTAGAAGTCTTGAACAGACTAAAAGCTGTCATAGGAATTCAGAGAACAGGAAGATCAATAAAGATTGAGAGAGTTGAAGGCTTTTTGGAGGAGGTCAGAATGACGCTGACCCTTGAAAAATGGATAGAATTTGGTCAAGGTGGGAAGGAAGGCTGTACTCCTTGAAACAGATTGTGCCCTTGGTTTGATTAGGTTAGTAGAGAAAGTTCATTCTGCAAGGATGCACTTATTTTCTTATTTTTTTACATCTAGGATGGCACTTTGCATTCTATTACTATCAAGGAAAATAACTACACTATAAAGGACCACATCAGTGTACATGCCTCTGTGAAGAATATTGTATTTTCTCCGGATTATACACAAATACTACTTCTAACAGAAAATGTATGTAAGATGATGAATTCCTGTCATAAAATGCTAATATCATGTATCATGGAACATTTTCTTTTTTGAGGTACTTATCATAATCATATGTGAATATGTGAAGGATCTATTAATTTATCCATTTAGAGAATTCCCAGGTTAGGAAATCCCTCCACTAAGGCAGATTAAAACCCATCTATGGCTTAGTAGATTAGTCCTAGGGGTTTATCTCACAAACTGAGAGGCTAGGCCATTCATTTATCCAGGGTCACATAGCTCGTAGATGTCAGTGAAAGGATTTGAACCTAGGTCTTTTTGGCTCCAACGTCAGGGCTCTATGCATCACAACATATGAATGGAGGGTAGAGAGCCGGTGACCTTCTCTTCCTTCTCCCATCCCCTTTTTAGCTTTCTTTTGTGTATAATCTTTCTTAATCAGGTTGTAAGCGCCTTACAAATTTTTTTTTTTTGTATCTCCAAGGCTTACCACGGAGCCTGGCACATAGCTGGAACTTAAACGTTCATTGACTGACTGACATCACACTGCCTCTATCTTGTTATACTTTACCAATGTCACGTGTTTTTCTTCTCCAAGGATGTTATCCCTGTTCTTGGGTCACTTTTGTATACAAGCTTGATTCCATAGTCATTTACTTCAACAATGCACTGTATTCCACCTTTATCTTCCATTGTTTTTGCTTTATTTATCAAAACCCTGGGTCACCCTCAACATTTGCCTTCTTTTTTCAAGGTGCTGAGTGCAGCCACAGGAAGTCACAAAACCAAGTAGATAGGAACAACCATGTTTTCTAACCTCCACTGTATCTACCCTGCTGCACAACAATCCTTTCATTCATCTACATTCCCCATGGCAGTTCAAAGCCTTCTTTCTCTTCAAACCCCAAGTCTATCCTTTTTTACTCCTAGCAGTTGAATTGACCTTCTGCACTATGAAGAAAACTGAGGCTGTCCATCTGAATTCCCCACTTCTTTTTCTCCATCCTTCTTTTGTTCCTGTGCTCATTTGAGAGGATAAGGTAGCCTTCCTCCTTTTCAAGGATAACTTCTCCACTTTGCCTCGATCTCTTCTCTTCAAGGATCTTGTTTTATTAATCAATTTTTAAAAAATTATCTACAGCCGTGGTGAGACCTCCATTATCAGAATATCAATTTGACAACTGTGTGGAAGATGGATTGGAAAGGGAGAGACTTGAGGCAGAGGGACCAATTAGGAAACTATTGTAATGGTTTAGGATGAAAAGTTATGAAGACCTGAAGTAGGATGGTGGCTGAGGGTGCAGAAAGAATAGGACAGATGTGAGATATATTGTGGAGATAAAACTGACAAATAATTGGTAGTTAATGGAACATGGAAGTGAAGGAGAGGAAAGAGTTGAGAATGATTCTGAGGATGTAAACCTGAGTGACTAGAAGGATGGTGGTATCCTCAACAGAAATAGGAAAATTTTGAAGAGGAGAGCATTTGGGGAAAAGATATGTTCTCTTTTGGACATATTCAGTTTTAGACTCCCACAGGACATCCAATTAAAGACATTCCTATAGGCAGTTGGGAATGTGGGACTATAGTTCAAGAGAGACTCTGGCTGAATACAAAGACTGGACAGTTAGATGATAATTAAACACATGGAAGTTGATGGGATCACCAAGAAGGTGTATAGAGAAGATCCAGGACAGAACCCTAACCTTAACTTCTGATCTAACTTTATATAGGATCATGTATTTAGATTTAGGAAGGACTGCAAAAGTTATCTGTTCTTGGCTGAGCCTGGCTAAAAACATTTCCTGGTAGTTTTGGTTCTATATTGGAACAATGTGAGATACTCATAGATTATTTAGAATTAACAAAAAGAGATTTATTCAGCCAAAGCTGTAAAAGATTATTCAACAAGGACAGGCACTGAAGACACCTCAAGCTGATTCAGCTGAGCAAAGCTTCCTTGCCTGTCTCACCCATCGTGATCCACCAGCCACGTGTCAGAACACCCCTGGAATTTTGTGGCTGCTTCATACTCAAGCACTGAGGAACAATAGTCTCAGCCTTTAGTTCCCTGAGTCATACAAGTCTCAGAGAAAGTCTAAGTACCTTTTAAGGAAGAACTAGCCTTGTAGGGGAAGGGATTAGGACATTACTCCTACCATACCATCCATCTCATTCAGCTGAGGCCCAGAGATGTGAAGTGACTTGCCCAGGTACCACAAAGGTGACCATTGTTTTCTCTCTATGACTCATAACTCTGATATCTTACTTTTTGACCACAAACTCCTATCCTTCAATATTTCCTCTGCCTCACTCCTACAGCTATTCTTCATTTTTGCTTCACCTTCCAAGAATTCTAATCCTTTCTCTCTCAGTCCATCATATCTGTTTGGGCCTCATTTTCCTCCCTTTGTAATCTTGACCCCATAGCAAACTGGTTCAATTATATATTGCCCTCCTCTTGAATCCCATGTGCTCCTGTTTTTATTACCATTTATGCCTTGTCAAACCCCAACCCTCATTAATCTCCCCCTATCAATTCACATTGTCTTTACCTACTCATGTGCTGCTATAGATGAGATCCTTACATTGGGTGGAGGATTGGAGAAGATGACCTCCAAGGTCCCTTTAAACTATTAGATACTATCATTCTGTGAGCTACTCTCTATTAAATGATTTTTCTCTCCTCCTTTCTCCCACAAAATCCAGAAAGCTTGTAAGGATGGTAATATACAATAAAACTTTGCATTAACCCTGATTATTTTCCTGTGAGTGAGAGTTAATGACCTCATTTGAAAGATATGATATTATAGTTAAATGTAAAGAACTGATTTCTGAGCTCCACTACTGACTTGGCTGACCCTGGCCAAGCTACCTTACACATCCTTATGCCCTGAAGTGCTTACTTGTTGGACCAATTACCTTGATTTTAAAAGTATTTATTGTGCACATAGTACTTTAGAGATAGCATAACTGAATGTGACCAAATTATAGACCAAACATACACCACAAAATGTTACCAAATTATAGGCCAATAATAATAGCCAAGCAGAAGGGGCTCAAAAAATACCAGCAAGTTTTAATGCATGCCAAATTGAATCTTAGCAACTTAGAGAAGACCCTACAGCATGAATAACTAGGTGTAACTCCATAGGGACTCTAGGGTTATTTGAGCCTTTGTTCATTACTAGTAACACATCCAATTAGAGAGGGGAATGAATATTTAAGATCCAGAGCAAGAACCTCAAATGAGGTAGAATAACCTGTGACATGAGATCTTGATATTATTGGATTTTAGATATTGAATGAATTTTCTTGCCATGGGCTCACTTCGGTCTCATTAGTCACAAGACTGGTTTAGTTTTGAAGCCTGCCTAAAAACATTCTTTTTCCTTTTGGTCCAGAAGAAACTTCATCTTAATTTTCTATTTCCTAAAATAAGTATTATTTCCTGAAATAAGTATTGTCATGGACATATATTTGTAAGACCAGTGACCTAAGTTGTATAGACACTTCCTCCACTGCTACAGATCATAGCCTCTCTGTATTCTATGAATTGATACAGCTGAAAAATAAACAGTATAGTGTTACACCTTCTAGGGATGAGCTTAGGTTGGCTGGTGCTCAGATAACCTTTTCTGTGCCTAAATCTGGTTTGGTAGGCTGTATCAGAGTTTGCACTTCACTGTCATAGCTTCACAGACTTTCACACTATGATAACATATCAGAGTAGAATTGCTATAAAGATCAAATGACATAATGTATGTAAAGAGCTATGCAAAACTTAAAATGTTATATAAATGTTAATAACTGCTACTAGTGCTATCATTTTATTTTTAAAAAGAGGAAATTCATGGTTAAATTTGGTCAACTGGTCCATCAGGAAACCAGAAGTCTCCAGGCTCTATGATTGTAACTGCTGTTTTAGGCATAGCTTTTTAAGAGGTGAATTAATTCTTTCAGCAGTTGAATTTGTAATCTATAAAATAATTCATGAGTTCACCACTATTTTCTTCAAAGATTTATTTCAAGGTTTCAAAAAGAAAACCCAGGAAATTATATTTTCTCAAGAACATGCAGCAAACAGATTATTTTCAAATGATTTTTAAATTGTATTTGACAGGGATCTGTTTTTTACTATACTTTTGATGAAAAGACAAAAATTGAAACAATATTGGATGCATCTGGTGGCAATATACAGGCAATCGACTTTGTCACACTTGGAAACCAATACTGCATGGTGAGAATTTTCTCTGCTGTATTTAGAAATGTATTGATATTGAGATTTCTGAACTGTGAATACCTAACTACATACAATTCAAATATGTACCAACACTGGTAAAAGTATTAATTTCATTAAATTTTAAGTACAAATTCTTTCTCTCCCTCCCAATTCTACTTTACTGTTCTCCATTAAAAAAAAAAAAGGAACAGCAAAACCTGTTACAAATATGCATAGTCAAGCAAAACAAATTCTGCATTAACTATGTCCCCCCAAAATGGAAAAAAAGCCTATAATCCTCAGTCTGTACTTAAGAGTCCATAACCTCTCTATCTGGAAGTGAGTAGCTTGTTTCATCACGAATCCTCTGGAAATGTGGTTGTTCATTGTGTTAATCAGAGTTCCCAAATTTTTCAAAGTTGACTGTCTTTACGATATTGTTATTGTATAAATTTGTTCCTCTGGTTCTGCTTACTTCACTTAGTAACGGTTCATACATGACTTCTCAAGAGAAACCAGGTTTCTCTTGATCATCCCCTTGTTCCTCCTTTACTCAATTGATAGGCACCCTTTTGTTTTTCAGTTTTTTGACATAATATAAAGAGATGTTATAAATATTTTTTGTACATAAGCACTCTTTTCCTCTTTCTTTATTCTCTTTGGAATATAGACTTAGCAGTGGTATCTGTGGGTCGAAAGGTATACTTAGTTTAATAGCTTTTTTGCCCCAATTTCAAGGTGTTTTCAAAATGGCTAGACCAGCTCACAGATCTGTGAACAGTGCATTAACATGCTTATTTTCCTACAGTGCCTCCAACATTTATTTTCCTTTATTGTCATCTTTGCCAGTCTAATGGCTGTGAGAGCGTATCTCAGAGTTGTTTTAATTTGCATTTGATTATCTAATTATTAGTGAGTTAGAACATTTTTCCATGTTGCTGTGGATAGATTGAATTTTCTTCCTCTCTCCTCAAAACTGGCTATTCATCCCTTGACTATTTATCAGTTAAGGAATAACTTGTATTCTTATAAATCTGAATCAGTTTTAATGCATTTAAGAAGTGAGATTTTGGTAGGACCAAAGACCATCTGATTGTAGGACCATCAGAGAAATTTGCTGTAAAGATTTTCCCTCCAATTTCCTCTTCTAATTTGAGCTTGCTTGTTCTTTTGCCTGTGCACAAACTTTTAAGTTTTTGTAATCAAAATTTCTATTTTACCTCCTGTGAACTCCTTGGTCTTTTGTTTGGTCTTTAGCTCTTCCACTATCCATAAATGTGATAAGTAATTTCTTTCATGTGTCTCTGATTTGCTTATGATGTTGCCATTTATGTCTAAATAATGTACCTATATGGAGCTTGTCTTGGAAAATGTTGTGACATGTTAGTTTACACTTAGCCTCACCAGACTATTTTCCAGGTTTTCCAACAGTTTTTGTCAGGTAGTGAGTTCTTGATCCAATAGCTGGATCTTTGGATTTATCAAACACTAAGTTACTATGCTTGTTTCTTTCTGTATATTGTGTACCTAATCTGTTACACTGATCAACCTCTCTATATTACCCAGTATTAAATTATTTTTGATGATTACAGTTTTGTAGCATGGTTTAATATTTGTAGTATGGTTTAATATTTTCTTTCTACTTTCCACCTTCTCCCCAACTAACTTCCTTGATATTCTTGACATGTTGTTCCTTGAGATGAATTTTGTTATTATTTTTCCTAGCCCTATAAAATAATCCTTTGGTAGTCTGATTGGTATGGAATGGAATAAGCAAATTAATTTAGGTAGTATTACCATTTTATTATATTAGCTCAGTCTACTTATGAACAATTAATATTTTTTCAATTATTTATATCTATCTTTATTTGTGTTTTGTATTTAAAGATGTATTACTGTTTTGTAATTGTGTTCATGTAGTTCTTATGTATGTCTTGGTAGGTAGACTTCCAAGTATTTTGTGCTATCTATAGTTGTTTTAAATGTAATTTCTCTTTCTGTCTCTTCCTGCTGAATTTTGTTGATGACAAAACAGAAATGATGATTTGTGCCAGTTTATTTCTATCCTGCAACTTTGCTAAAGTCATTAGTTGTTTCTTGTTATGCTTGTTCCCTCGATTTCTTTTTCTTGCTTTACTGTCTTTACATTTCTATTACTATATTGAATAGCAAAGGTGATATCCTTGGACATCCTTGCTTTATCCTTGATCATACTGGAAAGGCTTCTAGTTTACACCCATAACAAATTATTCTGTCTCTTGGTTTTAGATAGATGCTACTCATCATATCAAGAAAAGTTCTGCTTATTCTTAAGCTTTCTGGTGGTGATATTGTTGTTGTTTTTGAAAACAAGAATGGATGTTGTATCTGGTCAAAAGTTTTTTAGGCATCTGTTGATACAGGCATATGGTTTTGTTGTTTTTGTTAACATGTTTAATTACATTCATAGTTTTCTAAATATTGAACCAGTCCTGCATTCCTGGTATAAATACAGCCTGGTCATAGTATATAATCTTTGTGATGTGTTGCTGGAGTCTTTTTTCTGATATTTTATTTAATTTTTTTGCATTAATATTCATTAGGTAAATTATTCTATAGTTTTCTTTCTTTGTTTTGAGTCACCGTGGGTTGGGTATCAAGATCATATTTGTGTAACCAAGGGAATTTTGTAGGACCATTTCTTTTCCTATTTTTTCCAAACAGTTTAGTATTGCAATTAACTATTTTTTAAATGTTTTGTAGAATTTGCTTATAAACCCATGTGGTCTTAGAGTTTTTCTCTTCGCACATTCATTTATGGCTTGTTCAATTTCTTTTTCTAAGATAGGGTAATTTAAGTACTCTATTTCCTGTTCTGTTGATCTGGGCAATTTATATTTTTGCAAATATCCATCTATTTCATGTTGTCTCACATTGTTTTCATTATCTTTTATGAAATTATTATTTTTAGAATTTGTACTTTGACCCACTCAATCTTTTTTTTTTGGCTAAGCAATGGGTTTAAGTGACTTGCCCAGGGTCACACAGCTAGTTAAGTGTTATGTGTCTCAGGCCAGATTTGAACTCAGGTCCTCCTGAATTCAGGGCTGGTGCTGTACCCACTGTGCCACCTAGCTGCCCCTGACCCACTCAATCTTTAGGATTTAGTTATTTAGCTTCTAATTTTTTAATCTTCACTTAAAAAGCAATTTTTTGAATATGAGCTCATTGCATTGATCAATGTGTTTAAACCACTGTGCAAAAAGGGTGCAAGCAGGAGGAAAGGAGTAAGAGCCTGAAGTTGTGGTGGTCAAGCTAAATCCAAATAATTTCATGATCTGTAGCAACCAGCCTGCAAAGGAAGCAATATCATTACAATGTGAAGATTGTAATGTTATTTCAGCCACCTGAAAAGGGAAAAAGAAACTCTTACTGGCTTTTTCCTTGTAGACCAGCCCCACATTATCTTCCCAAAGATCCATTTAAATACATTATTTGTGAGAGTTAAACATTCAGCAAATAAATCAACTTTATCTATCCCTACTCTGAGACATTTATATTAGATTTTAAAAAATAGGAAGTGAAGTTATTGAAACATATCACGTGAAAAAGTAAAAAAAAAATCCTTTGACATATTTGTTTCATTCTATTCAAACCAATATATTCTAGATGTATTTTGTTGTTGTTCAGTCATTTTTCAGTTGTGTCTGACCCTTTGTGACCCCATTCAGGGTTTTCTTGGCAGAGATACTGGAGTGGTTTGCCATTTCCTTCTCCAGCTAATTTTATAGATTAGAAACTGAGGCAAACAGAGTTAAATGACTTGCGTAGAGTCGCCTGAGGCCAGATTTGAACTCACGAAGATAAGCCTTCTTAACTCTAGGCCTAGGGCTCTATTTACTGTGCCACCTAGCTGGCCCAGATGTATTTTAAGCAATGGATTATTTCCTTCATTGGACCTGATGTTAAAGTTGTGATCAACTCAAGAAACTTTTGTTATTCAAATGCTCTACCAACAAGTTCATAAAGAAGTTGTGGTGTAGGGGGTATGAAGCCAAGATGGCAGATTAGATGCAACAATCCAGCTGAACTCTTTCAACAGTCCCCCCCAAACAACTTTAAAATAATGCATCAAATCAAATTTTGGAGTAGCAGAGCCAAAAAGAGTTGAAGATGAGACTTTTTTTTCTGGCCTAAGGAAATTTAGGAGGTCTGAAGGAGAGGTCTGTGACATCAGAGTGGAAGCCTATATGGAATGCATACAGATGGAGGCAAGCAACCATAGCTACAGCAGCAGTAGAAGCTTTGGGAACTCTCAGCCCAGAGAAGGTAAGGGGATAGGACAATTGGACAGAAGGAGATTATAGGGAATCCAATATTGGCACTGGAGTCATCTAGTGCTGATTGGCAACTTTATTGCCTATATGCAGTTCTGGGTCACAGTTCCAGGGTATAGAGGAGCACTTGTGGTCAGTCACAAGGGAGCAGAGACCCTGGTCACAGTTCAAGGGCCAAGAAGAGTGCTACTAGTTTGGGTGACAGGGGAATAGGACACCTAGTCATAGTTCCATGGTCAAGTGGTTGTGGCTTCAGGGAACCAGGAGCCCTTCCTGGGTACAGAACAGAGTGCAGACCAGGAAAGCAGTCACCACACCTTTCCCCACATCACACCACCTTGGAAACATCAAAAACTTGCAGACTCTTAGAGCTAGCTCTTAAAAAACAGCAGCACAAAAAAGCCTGAGGCTTGGGACAGTGCCTCCCCACCCCTCAGATGAGCAGAGCCCAATTTTAACTAACATTCAAAGTCAAGAAATAGGCTGATAAAAATTAGCAAGCAACAACAAAAAAGAACTTCACTACAAAAAGCTACTGTGGTGGCAGGAAAGAAGAGGGCGCAAACTCAGAATGACAACATGGAAACAGTTACAATCAAAGCCTCAAAGAAAAATGATAAGTGGACATGAGCTCAACAAAAATTCCTGGAAGAGTTAAAGAAATGAGTAGTAGAGGAAAAATTGGGGAAAGAAATAGAGTGATACAATAAAATTATGAAAAATGAATTAACAGCTTGGTAAAAGAGGCACAAAAAAATTGAAGAAAATAACCTTAAAAAACAGAATTGGCCCAATGGTAAAAGAGACACAAAAATTCACTCAAGAAAAGAACTCCTTAAAAAGGCATCAATAGGTCAAATAGAAAAGAAGTACAAAAATTCACTAAGAAAATAATTCTTTAAAAATTGGAATTAGGCAACTAGAAGCTAATGATCCCATGAGATATCAGGAAACATTTTTTTAAAAAGTCAAAAGGATGAAAAAAATAGAGGAAAATGTGAACTATCTCACTGAAAAAAAACCTGATATGTAAAACAGATCAAGGAGAGATAATTTAAGAATTATTAGACTACCAGGAAGCCATGATCAAAAAAAGAGACTAGAAGTTCATATTTCAAGAAATTATCAAGGAAAACTGCCCTGATATCTTACATTCAGAGGGTAAAGTAGAAATAGAAAGAATCCACCAATTACCTACTGAAAGAGATCTCAAAATGAAAACTCTCACAAATATTATAGTCAAATTCCAGAGCTCCCAGGTCAAGGAGGTAATATTGTAAGCATTTAGAAAGAAACAATTCAAATATCATGGAGCCACAGTCAGTATCACATAAGATTTAGCAGCTTCCATGTTAAAGGAATGGAGGTCTTGGAAGATGATATTCTGAAAGGCAAAGGAGCTGGGATTAAGACTAAGAATGACTTACCCAGAAAAACTGAGTATAATCCTCCAGGGGGAAAAAAAAACAGATATTTAAATGAAATAGAGAACTTTCAGACTTTCCTGATGAGAAGACCAGAGCTGAATAGAAAATCTGACATTTAAACAGAAGACTCAAGAGAAGCATAAAATTATAAACATGAAAGAGAAATCATAAAGGACTCAATAATGTTAAACTGCTTACATTCCTATATGGGAAGATGATTCGTGTAACTCCTAAGAACTTTATCACTATTAGAGTGGTTAAAAGGAGTTACATAGACAGAGAGCATGGATATGAATCAATTATGTTGGAATGATTTCCAAAAAAACTAAAAGCTGAGAAAGAGGGATGCCCTGTGAGAAGGAGGAAGGGAGAGATAGAATGGGAAAAATTTTTCTCACTTAAAAGAGTATCACATAAATAAGACCTTTTACAATGGAAGGGAAAATGTGAGGTGGGGTGGAGGGCAGTGCTTGAATCTCATACTCACCAGAATTGGTTGGAAAAGGGAAGAAAATACATATACATTCAGTTATGTATAGAAATCTATCTTACCCAAAAAGGGAACTAGGAGAAGGGGATAAGAGAAAGGGGGAGGGAATGATAAAAGGAAGGGCAAATTAAAGGAGGCAGTGGTTAGAAGTAAAATAGAGTTTTGTGGAGGGTCAGGATAGAAAGAGAGAGAGATGAAGAAACAAAAGAAAATGGAATGGAGGGAAATACACAGTTAATAATCATAATTGTGAATTTGAATGACAAGAGCTCACCCATAAAATAGAAGTGGATAGCAGAGTAGATTAGAAATCAGAATCCACCAATATGTTGTGTACAAGAGACACACTTGAAATAGAAAGACATACACGGTTAAAATAAAGGGCTGGAACAGAATCTAAAATGCTTCAGCTGAAATAAAAAAGGAAGTAGCAGCAATTATAATCTCAAAGAAAGCAAAAGCAAAAACAGACCTAATTAAAAGACATATTCAGTTTTGCTTAAAAGATACCACAGACAATGAAGTTGTATAAAAAAATTTATAGCAAGTTTCTCTGATAATGTCCTTTTCTTAAATACATAGAAAATTAAGCAAATTTTAAAAAATAAGAGCCACTCCCCAGTTGACAAATGTCAAAGGATGTAGCAAGCAGTTTTCATAAGAAGAAATCAAACTTATCTATGATTATATATGCTGTATATCACTATTGATTAGAGAAATGCAAATTAAAACAACTTTGAGGTACCACCTCCCACCTATCAGAAATGACAAATGCTGGAGGGGATGAGGGCAAATAGGTACATTAATGAACTGCTAGTAGAATAGTGAACTGGTCCAACCATTCTGGAGAACAATTTGGAACTAGGCCTAAAGAGCTATGAAATTGTAGGAAAAGGACCTGTATGTACAAAATTATTCAGAACAGTTCTTGTTGTGGTGGCAAAGAATTGGAAATTGAGGGAATGCTTATTAATTGGGGAATGGCTAAACAAATTGTGGCATATGATTGCGATGAAGTGCTATCATGTTATAAGAAATGACAAGGGAAGTGGTTTCAGAAAAACCTGGAAAGACATATATGAACTGATACAAAGTGAAGTAAGAACTGGGAGATCATTGTTTACAGTAACAGCAATGTTGTAATAATGATCAACTGTGAAAGACTTGGCTACATGATTACTCTGCTCCATTGATACAAGATAATTCCAAAGTAAAATTCTATGGTAAAAAAAAAAATGCTTTCTTACCTCCAGAGAGAGAACTGATGAACTGTGAGTGCAAACTGAAGTATAATTTTCTCACTTCTTTTTTTTTTTTGCAATTTAATGTGGAAATATGTTTTCCATGATTTCACATGTGTAATTGATATAATATTGCTTGCCTTCTTGGGAGTGGAGGTGAAGAAGACAATTTGGAATTCAACATTTAAAAGAGAAATAATATTAAAAAATAATAAATTAGAGGGGGAAAAATTTGATGCAGTAGAACAAGCATTGATATGAAATCTAATCTATGTTCAACTGCTTACTGTCTGTATGACATTCAGCAAATCACTTTATTTTTCTTTGCCTCAGTTTTCTCATCTCTGTAAATGAGATAATAGGAGATAAGGGTTGGACTAGATAAATTCTAAGGTCCCTTCCAGCTCTAAATCCTATAAAACAATAGAAAGAGCTTTTGAATTTCAAGTTAATTTCATTTCATAAAGGAAAACCTCATCCATTCTCAAGAATTGCCCAAACCAATAAAATTCTATTTAAGATCTTAATGACAAGGTGATACATAATTGATCCTCCTTTTCACCATATTAGCCAAATAATCACTTCTCATCCTCTTTTCTTCATACCCAACCAGAAGAGGTATCAGAACACAAATCCCATGAAATTCCATGTATTTTAAGCACTAATTCTACAAAAGGATACAAATATAAGCACAATGATGGTGAATTTTCTAAAATCCCATGCAAATACATCAGGTAGAATTACCTCTAGTCAATTTTATTACTCAATTTCCATATTAAAAATAACAGAGATCATCTTTATTTAGTGTTTAATTAATAGTTAACCCATAGTAAAAGTAGTATTCAGTGCATTTGTAAATCACAAATGTTGATGTTGAAATTGTCATCCTGACTGAACAGTCATTACTTTGTATAAATGGCAGTTATGGTCACGTCTCAAAGTAAACCAGTAGAGGCTGACCTGTCTTCACAGAATGCAGAAGAAGTTCATTTTTCATAGAAAGCATTTCTATATTAATAACTTTAGTTTTTTATTATTGCATGTCTCTTACAGTCAATAAGCATTTTAGGAGAATTTTGTATTTGGTTGATAGAAGATGGATCTCCTGTCAGTAGATTATGCCTTAAGACAGAGGTATGTATGTATAAGAAGTAGATACTTTTCGTGTTGAATGCTATGGCAGCCTGCCTTTTCATTTTCACATGAACTAATCCTTGGTTCTAGTTTTGGCTTTGCTACTATATGAACTTGGTCAAGTGAATTCATTTTTTCTGGTCCTCAGTTTCCTTGTATATGAACTGAGGGGATTAGACTAGATGAACTCTACCATTCCTTATTCAAGAAAATAATAATCACAAGGTATGACTGAAAAGTAATTAAACAGATTCTACAAACTTCACTTAAGTTACTTTCTTTACTTGCAGTGACTCTATTTTTTATGTATGATTCCATTGGTCTATAATAATTATGGTAAATCTTCCTCTGATCCAAGTAAATCCATACTTTCCCTGCAACTGCCAAAATACAGTACATGAATCACTTATCTACAGAGTTAAACCCTGTAATGTTTTCTAAAATATATCTAGGAGGGAAATAATCCAGGTAGGAAGAGGTAAGGAATCAAAACTGAACCCATGGCCTTCCAGTTTTTTTTCTATTATGTATAATTTCTTTTTTTCTCTTTTTGCTTTTTGGTAAGGCAATTGGGGTTAAGTGACTTGACCAGGGTCACACAGCTAGTGAGTGTCAAGTGTCTGAGGCCAGATTTAAACTCAGGTCCTCCTGACTCCAAGGCCAGAGCTCTATCCACTGTGCCACCTACCTGCCCCCTCCCCCTCCTGCCACTATGTATAATTTCTAAGGGAGTAATCTGATCTCCTTAGTTTCCTTGGCCCAGGTGAAGACAAGTCTCATTTTTCCTTAGTTCAACTGAGATAAGGGTGTTTTTTTTCAAAAGACAAAAATATATAACTGGGGGGGGGAGGTAAATAAAACAAAAGCAGTTACAAAGAGCAATAAACAGATGAGTTTCCAGAGCATACAACCCTTATCCTAAACTAATTATGGTATAGCTTCCAGAGTCCTGTTACTACTATTCCTCATCTCATGTCTGCCCTGGCTGCTCTAAAGCAAAAAAGGGACCTGAAACCATTTAAAGAGAGCAAAGGGTATCAAGCTGTCCCTAGAAACTACGTGTGATACTGTCTGCCACAAGTATGTGATACTGCCTATTCACTAGAAGACTTAAGTGAAGGGCTGTTAGCGAGATGAAAATTTGTGTTAAGCAATACTTCAGTTGTGATTGCTGATCCTTTCCTTCTGTGATAGTCCCTTACAACAGTTAAGAATTCTGGATAGGTTAAATTGAACAGTTGATTTTAAATACTTAATTTTGCATCATTATTATTCATAGTATGATTAATTTAATTTTAATAATGATTTTGTAGCTAAAAGTAAGTCATGTAATTATAATTTATAGCTTATAAACTCTGAATATATTCATGGATACATTTTCTTGACAAGGTTACATTTCCATTAAAGGTTAAATGTTTCTATGTATCCTTAGGGATTCAATTAGCTTCACCTATCAGGAATAATAACAGTAATAGTAATAATGGCTGATATTTATATCATGCATAAAATTTGCCAAATGTTTAATATGCATGATTTTATGTGATCTTCCTATTTTACATATGAGAAGCAGTATATTGTAGTGTATAGAGAGCCAGTCTTGGAGCCAAAAAGGCTTGAGTTCAAGCCTGCCTCTGACACATCCTGGCTGTATGATCTTAACCTCCAAGAAACTCTTGAGATGGTGAAGTTGCATTGGTAAAGGAAGTCTCCTCACTTGGGAGTTTATTATACCAATAAAATCATAGGTCCAGTTCCAGTCCTTATCCTGTATTATATGCGTATTTATAATTTATATTAGAAGCTGGTGCTACCTTATTCGTTCACTCATTCAGCCTTTGCAAATCCGGGCAGGGGGAGGGAGAGGAGTTCTGAAGTAAGTCTTTTATGCTTAAAGCTAAAAATTTGGGGATTTATTTTGACTAGGTAAATGATATGGCTTCCTGCCCCTCTTCGCTTTCAGTGGCTGTGGGTACCACTGAAGGATCTATGCTGTTCCTTGACATTTCTACTCTCCAATCCCCTCGACTTGTTCACAAAATCCTCCTGACCAATTCTTGTATACAGCATGTGCGGTAAGTAAAACTTAGAAGAGGTGCTATTTGTGATACCTCGTATGATATGGTAGCTGGGAATACCGTGAATCAATAGTTCTGAGGTCCCAGATAGCATAACAACAGTAGCTTTTAACTTCTTTAATTATTGGCTGAATTATTAGCTGAATTATTGGATAATTATTTACCCTATTTTCTCTTAGTGTGGAAAGGAATAACTATTTTTGTTTATTGGCATTCTTCTTTTTTGCTTTTATAATTTTAAGCTTTTTAGAGATTTCAAAATGTTACAAAATCTTCCATTTTGTGATATTATCAGGCATTGGTTGTAGGGCACCATGATGCAATAATACAGCTCTTTTTGGAAATTATTTATATAAACCCTACATGATAGATTTTTATCTCAAATGAACTACGTTGACATAATGTATTTCATTTATGTTATTTTCTGTGACTGAAATATTAACTACAGGCTGTTTCATCATAGGATTGAAATAAAAGAATTAGAAAGTAAGAAAGGACCTAATTCAACCCATCTTCAAAAGGGATCCCCACTAGAACATACATGACAAATAGTCATCTAGCTCTTCTTGAAAACCTTCAAAGGTGGAATCTACCATCTTTTGAAGTAGCCCATTCTCCCTTTGGTCAGCTCTAATTGTTAGGAAGTTTTTCCCGACATCAAGCTTAAATCTGCTTCTTTGTAACTTCTTCCCATTGCTCCTACTTCTCTTCTCTAGGTTGAATCTCTCCTCCACATGACAACCCCTCAAATACTTGAAGAAGCACCTCCTGAACTAATCTCACATGTAGAATTTGAGTCCTTGGGATTATCCATGTCCTTCCTCTGAACCCTGTTAAGTCTTCTTTCCCAGAATCAAGGGTCCATTACAACACCTTGACTGGGCAAAGAAGAGGTATCACCCTTTTTTAAGGGATTCATAAGCTTATTATATTCTTGGACATAATTTGCAAGACATCCATTACATTTACACGTAATCAATCTTGGTCATTATAAAGGGTGCAGCACTAGCTTGTAACAAGGCTCCTCCTTTGTTGGATGAAATCTCTGACCTGATCTCAGGCTGAAGTGATCTTTTTTTTCTGAAGTCAAGAGTAGTGATATGGAATCCCCTTTCTGAAAAGTTGTCATCAAGGATGTCTATTGCTCCCAGCATCATATCTCATTCTTCTATTACATCCCAGTCATTCTAGGATTAAGCAATTATTTATTTACAAGGGGAAAGAGAATTATAAATTCAGAAATAATAAACTAGAGTAAAATAGGGCCAAGTTCATAAACCATCATTATTCTCTAGGCCTCTGAAGCAAAATCTTCTGACCCAATCTGAGAATCCCTTCATCTTTCTCAAAGTTGATTTATAAAAGATTGCCAGGTGAATTGACTCCCCTCTTCTCTAAGGAAGTAACAGCCTCATCTTTTTTTTCACCATTCCCAATACCCTTTTGACTTTAAAGAACAACAAAACTGTGTCTGGTGTAGAGGAAAGAACATGGGCTTGGGAGTGAGGAGACTAGAGCTAAGGCTATGACAATAACTAGATATGTGACCAGGGAAAATCACTTGACTTCCCTGAACTTCATTGTCATGCAACATGACAGAGGGTTAGACTTGAAGTCCAAAAAATTTGTGTTCTATTCATGTCTCAGATACTTCTTGGCTGTGAGACCAATGGAAAATCATAGAGCTCCATAGTGCTGCCTCACCTGAAAAATGGACATAATAATCTTTGCATTAACTACCTCAAAGGGTGGCTGTGAAGAGTGTATTTTTATGAACCCTAAGGGGCCATACAGACTCAAGTTCTTATTATTAAAGTATACATGGAAATTATCACAGTCACTATTGTCATAAGCATGATATTTATTTCCACAAAGAAATCTGAAATAATGGGCATTTCTAGAAAGGTCAGTACCTAGTATTTTATCTGACTCTTTCATGGTTAGGCAGTACAGGTCCGTGAAATCTGTTTCTTAAAACTAGCTACTTGGTAATTACACTTTGTCCTCTCAGACAAGGTAATATGATTGTTGAAGAAATAGACAGGTCATGATGGTTTCTCCCTCACCTCAAAAACATTATGAAATAGCCTGAATGTTTACAAATATAAATCCCTCCATAACAGTTATATATTTGATTTAAGGAAATACTTAAAAATACCATCTAAAAGAGAGGCTGATGCTAAAAATGTATTATCCTTTTAGACTTACTTATATTTATTCAGAATTATTTGTAAAAGTCCATTTTAATTTCTATTCCCATGGAAGATGGATTAGATGTGGTATATGTGGCCTCAAAGGGTATAGAACTATCACCAGTGGGTAGAAGATATACAAAGTTAGATTTCCAGAGACTTCACAAAGCCCTACTCCAATGCCTCTTTATGGCAAGAAAGTAATCCTGGCCTCTTGAAGGCTATGCCAATAGAATACACACTTCGGCAAATTCATGATGGCTGTAAGTGATGACCCCAGAAAAAAGACTAGTCTATTTTCTGTGGATGAACCTAGCTGATTGCAAAATTAGGTTGTCTTGTATCCAGAAATTAATTCTTTGCCATACTAGTCTAGGCAATGAAGAAAAATACAAAAACAGCCCTCAGGCCTATAGAGACTCTTCTTTTCCACAATGACAGTTGGAAGTACAGTCAAAAGGGGATCACACAGTCTACAATTTTTTTTAAGATAGCCTATGAATTTAGGTAGCTTATCTCTTTACTAATGACTAGAATAACAGAATTATATAATTCTCTACACTGTCATGGTAAACAAATTGGAACAAAGAAGGAGAAACTGCATTCAAATGGAAGATTGGCTCACAGGTTCTCATTGGAGGGACAAATGAAGGAGTTGATAGAATTGGTTTTATGGTGTAAACAAAATCAACAGCAAACATCATTTCATAGATTATTAGATTGTCTCATATTGCAGGATTCATGATAAGTATTTAGAAAAAGACTCTTATGAAAATCATTGTAGCTTAGGCATCAACATTTGCTATTGAGAATGAAGATGTAGAGAAATTCCACAAACTTGATAAGACCCTCCAAATGAAATTAATATATACTCTGATACTCAATGACTTCAGTGCAGAGATGGGAAGAGATGAGGATGGCACATCACATCTTGGAAAACATAGAGTAGGAATAACGAATAAGAAAAGCCAAATAATTGTAGTCTCCATGAAAGTTTCATACCTATACATGATGAATTTTTTTTATTTGAGAAAAGAATGGATGTATAACTAAAACAACTGCATCCTGATCTATTTAAATTTTGATGATTAAAATGTGATATGGATAGAACAAAGGACATAGGGACCAATTACAATAATTTCATATAGAAATTTAACTAATATAAATCAATTGCCATAATGAGGACACCTAAAGAACTTAAAACAAACTTAGCAAATATTTGACTTACTTGTCACAGGGATAAATATGGCAGCCAATGGCAATACCAGTATTGAATGTAAACTCACTTGTAAAATTTTATGGAGAAGGATGGCAGAAGATTATGAGCAGTGCTACCTCATAAAACGGAGAAGTAGTGAAATGTAAATGTAAAACTAGTGTAAAGAAACTTATCTCATGGTCATTAAAGAATTAAAATAAGAAAACAAAAGAAAAAATGGAAAAGATTTACCAAGATTTTTATAACTAACTCTTTGTCATCAAATTTCAGATATAATTATAGGGGAGGTAGAATAAAGCTAAAGAGAACATAAAAAGGAAACTTGGCTGAGTTAAATTGTCTACAGAAGAGATCTATGCTAGAGGCAATTTATAAGGCATATGAAAGAGGAGAACATACCCAAGGAGTGAGAAAAAATCCAATGACAAAAAAGTGAGCAAGAGGAACAACTATCAACCTATATGTCTATTTCCCCAGCTAGGTGATACAGTGGTTAGAGTGCTAGACTTAAAAGTCAGGAATATCTGAGTTCAAATTCTGCTATAGACACTTACTAGCTGTGTGACCCTGAGCAAGTCACTTAACCCTCAACCTCAGTTTCCTCATCTATAAAATGGGGATAGTAACAGCACCTGCTTTATAGGATTGTTGCAAAGATTAAATAAGATAATATATGTGAAGCAAATTTTAAAGTACCACATAAAAGTTAGCTAAGTAAAATTTTCATGAGAATAACTTACATATGCAACAAGGTCATACTTGATGAGGTTCTTTAGAATAGAATATGCAGGTTTTGTATGTGATATTCCACAGTAGAACACAACTTTACCATCACAAAATTGGCTGGAAGACATAGGTAATCAGACATTCCACTATGTTATTTGTTGATTTTTAAAAAATTGTTTCAGTGGAGCAAAACAGTCTCCTTAAAGGCTCTCTTCCAATAAGGTATACCTGATACACAAGGTATCACAAATATTCTAACCACTTATTTTCTCAACCTATTCACTTCCTATGATCTGCTCCTCTGTGACATCTCAATCACACACAAAGATTGTCATATGCTTGATCTTGCCGATGCCTACAGACACACCACTTCTATGTTCAAGAAGTCCCCTTATCTGACTATAATCTATTGTCTTTCCACCACTCCCTCTGCCTTCCCTTGCCAAACTTTACTCTTCACTCATACCATGAGGGGTCCCTTGACCCCTCAGTTCTTTCCCTGGCCATCTCTCCTGCACCTGCCACTTTTTCTTGTTTTCCCCATCTTGACCTCTTGGTGTACCAGTTCAGCTCTATCCTATCCTCTTCTCTTTTTTTCCCTTTACACTTTCTTTTTATGTTTTCAACATTCACTTTTATAAGAATTTGAGTTCCAAATTTTTTTCTCCTTCCTTCCCTCTTCCCTCCCCAAGAGAGCATGTATAATCATATTAAACATATTTCCACATTAGTCATGTTGTGAAAGAAGAATCAGAACAAAAGGGAAAAACAACAAGAAAGAAAAACAAAAAAAGTGAAAATAGTATGCTTAGATCTGCATTCAGACTCCATAGTTCTTTCTCTGGATGTACATAGCATTT